AATTATATTATATTATGCTACTAACCATACAACGCTAGCAGAGACCCAAGTATGTTTGTTTATATAATTACAATAGCTTTCTTTACTACAACATTTTCTTTTACTGTCCTCTTGTATTTGCATTAATGTATGTAATTGCAAGACCTGTAGGATAGAAAACAGTAGTTGTTTTACTTAGGGTGGATCAATATAAAACCCAAACACGTACATGTTAATTAATTGGATTAATAATGATTGAAATAAAGGTATAAGACATAAAATACTAAAAATGCAGTAGCTGCCAATAAGGAGCTTAAAGCAAGCTGAAGCAGGTGAAGGACGACATTCTACAATAATGAAACCAATCTACATCAGCTAAACCTACCATAGAATTAAATAACAAGCCATATGACTTTGACGTAGCCTATCTAATACGACATAAATCCTCAACTTATCTTTAGGTCTTTGTACAACAATGTTATGCAATATAAGCCCTAACTCACTTTAGGCTCTGAGGTTATCGTTCATTACGACATTAACCCGCCTATCTTTCAAGCTACTTGTATGATCGGTGTCATGCAAGTGTAAGACCTAAATAATAAAAATTGGCAAGTCCAAATATCTAATAATATTTCCTCGAAACTGAAGTCAAACCATAGGATAGCTTGGGAAGTCCTGAGGTTCTCCTTAGGATCCGTAATATCCCCTAGTTTTCTCCCATTGGATTCCAAAAATAATTGCTCCTATTCGATCTTTCCCGTTTGATATTTCTTCATCTGATCTTAAAAACCCGAAACTTTGAAATCTTGAAGACAATACCTCTGATCTAAATCGAGAGTTTTCTTATGTGACTTTGGACATTTAAGATGTAATTAACTATATGGGACTTCCCTTATAGAAAACTTTAAAACCCAACTAATATAAACCCAGTCTAATCTTTTATATTAGATAGAGGAATTTATCCGTCAACATAAAAAGTTTCACAGACCAAAACAAATGTCATAAATTTTTTAGTTTATTTAATCGAGCCTAACTATCAAGTAACGTGCCTATCCCCAGGGATAGATTCATGACTTGTAGTGTTGTGGTCATTTATTTAAACTATTGTGTGTATGAGATCGATTAGGTCTCGTATTTTCAAAGTTTAAAATACTACTTTTCAAAATTATATATATATATACAATAAATTAAATTTATTATAAACCAACAACTTTCCCATGTTGACGACCAACATAGGCTTAGGATAATGCATAAGGACTCCCCAACAATTGGAATTTAGTAACTGCAGTAAGGTCTATAAAATTTTTATTTTGAAGATTTATAATATTAAGTTTACACAATCTCTTGAATTGCTAAATTAACCGAAACCAACAACATTCCCATTTAGCGATTGACAGTAAGTTTCGTTAGTTCATTATGTTTACATTAGAATGTAATTCTTTTGCTGAGATTGACATCTTTAACACATATAAACAGAACAACATTAAGACAATTGACGGTACATACGTGGATGCTCGATTACCCATTTATGAAAAGGTGACGTACATTGGTCGGTGCGGTTTAGCTACCCAAAATGTGATGGTCATCTATGACTTCAACATGTGCTTCACATTTGTGATGTCCGGATGAAAAGGCAATGCCAATGACAGTCGTTTTTTTGTCTATGCAACAAAGAATAACAGACAACACTTGCCTCACCCGCCTCCAGGTTAGTTAATTTTTTAACATTTTAGTTTTTGTTATCAATAGTCACTAATAGTGTCTTTAATGACAGATAAATATTGTTTGGTGGATGTTGAATATCCCTTACAGAGGGGGTATTTAAAGCCATTTTCAGACACCAAATACCACATTCATGATTTCGAGAGATCAAGTGGTGGCACCCGTGGTGGAAAAGAAATGTTCAACAAATGTCACTCTTTTTTACGCGGGGTGATCGAAATAACATTTGAGGTTTGGAAGAAGAAATTGGTCATTCTAAGCAATATGTTGACATACCCATTTCTTAAATAGGTATATATTGTGGTGGCCACTATGGTGCTCCATAATTTCATTAGATGACATCGCTCTCGGTCAGATATAAACTTTAGTACGACCGACAATGACAAGATGCATATCCTGCCTGAATCATTCTAATTCTAGGTTGGGCAATCAATAACAGAGGCTGTGATGGAGTCACTTAAACTTGACACCTAGGATGGCTAAGGTGCAGAGGAGGTGTCTACTTTGAGGGATCGTATCACATATGCTATATGCGGCTGCTGATAATTTTCTTTGTTTTGCAGACTTTATATAGCCTTCTTATGTCGTTTGTTCCATTTTATCTTTTGATTTTATGATATTAACATGTTTTAGTGGCTTTTATGTTATCTTTTTTTTGTTTTTGTTTTTATGGGTTTGTGAGGACAGTGATGAACCATATGACCATATGGGTTCTTTGGGATGACCAGTTTTTTGTTGTTTTAGTGGTGCATATGAAATCCTAATAAAGAAAGCCAATATCCTCTCTTTCTTTTGGTGTTTCGGTTTATGAGGAACCACATGGATGACCTTTTTTGGTGATATGCATATGTGCCACAAGCCATGGGTTACCCATTGATGTTGCATATTAAATCCTAATGAAAACAACCGAGGTTTTTTCTTCTTGTTGGTGCATCAGTATATGAGGATCAACTGGATGACCTTTTTTTGTGATATGCACATGCGACACTGTACATTGGTCTCACATGGGTTAAATGTAACAAAGAACTCATTTTTTTACAAGGTCTACTGTCTGCATGTTGTCACAAACTTGTTGGTTGGTTAGTTACTTCTCTGAAGCCTCACACCTCCTATTTTTTTCATTTTATTTTTAGTATATTTTTATTTCATATATTTTTAGATTTAAAAATTTCCGGTAATTTTTTTTCTTTAGTTTATATTTGAGTTTTTTATTTTTTTGTGGGCTTGTTTATTTTTCGTACTCGCGCTTGCTATTTTTCTTTTGATCAAATTTTTGTTTCTTTATACAATATTGTTTCTTATTTTCAATTTCAACAATTTTTTTATTTCATCTAATTTTATGGTTGACTTGTTCTCTCTTAAATAATTGTAATAATATGAGCTCTAGAATTTCGGGGAATTCCGGGTGACTGTTATGCCGATGCGGACTATCGTCTTTGTCACGCAGGGTCACATAGTTACAGACGACAGTTCTACAGGTGCTTGCAGTGGGCAGACGATCCAGACAAGTGTGACTTATTCAGACGGGCAGACAATCTGCCCGATTCTACTGCCGGTAGTGAGCGGTGTTTGACGGTATCACATACGAACTACATTGCTCGAGGTTTGACGACATCCCAATCAAACGATGTTGCTTGTGACATGCTTCTTCTGCACTTTAAAATGAATACTATTATACTTTTAATTGTAATTTTAATATGTTTTTTTTCTTTTTTATTCAGTTCCTTGATACTCACTCTTAAGTGAGGTGTATATTCTTTTTTGGTACAATTATGATGTAGTTTTATGGGTTCTGAAATATCAAATGCGTAGCCATTGTGGTTGTGTGGCAAACAACACATTGTTTTGTGCTAGAATGATCATTTATCCAAAAAAAGCTGTAAATCAACTGTTTTCTAAATGCACTAACCAAACAATAAACGACTTATCCAAAATAGGGGCAGAATGATCATTTATCCAGAAATAATTGTTTTCCAAATGCACAAACATAACAATCAACCAACTTATCAGGATAAACTGCTGATCAACATATTATCAGGATAAACTGCTGATCAGCATATTATCAGGATAAATTGCAGCTGCCACAAACAGAACCTAAGCCAGATCGCTACCTCAAGCTTCCATTGAATAGTGACAATTGCAGCTGCCACAAATAGAACCTAAGCTAGATCGCTACCTCAAGCTTCCATTGAATAGTGACAAACTAAACATACCATATTTGAGATCCTTTTCATAATGGTTTAGTTTTTTTATTTTTGGAGGGTATACTATTTTGTTGTCGACATTGTTTGATTCCTCTTATATTTTGGAGTTTTTCTTCTTTATTTTGGAGCTATTTTTGTGTGGTGTTGTATTGAGATGGTGCCCTAGGGGGTGTGTTCTCTGTATTTTTTGGTGTTTTCGGTAAAGGGTTCCACTATGTAAAATTAGTACCCATTTTTTTGGAGCAATAAATTACCTACGTGTTTCCTTATAGATATATCGTCCTTATTTCTCAATTATAAAGGCATAGTAAAAACCGATGCATTTATATCTCTCAACAGACTCACTTCATGATTCTCTTTAGAAAGCTTTTCTCTCTTGATGATTTCTCTCAATAACTCAATTTGACTCACTCTTCCTTATGAATGAGATTCAATAGAGACCGATTCCCTTAAGAGAACATTGATACAATATCTAACTCCTTTCCTAACATTTGAGCTTGATCCACATCAATTTTTCACGAACAATCATGCATTCCACAACAAGAAAAAGAGAACAAAAGCTTATTATTTTCTTCTGAATTATATTGTTAATACATGCAATATTGCAGAGAAAACATACACTAAAATCTATCAACTTAAAATATGTGAGAATGATTAATTATACCATCATAAAATAACACGTGGAAAAATAAGAACCATCAATAATACTGTAAATTTATAATGCCACGGTATTTATAACTTAGTTAACTAACTTTAATCAAAATTATTATATTTATATGTGTGTGCATGTGTGTGTATGTACTGCGTACTCATATCAGTTTGTCTGACATCAGCTTATCAGTTATAAGTCCCCTCTAGTCTGAAGTTCGATTCTCCTTGGTGGAAGGTGTGATACTCATATTTTTAGGCGCATCGAGGATGACGGGGGTTTGTATAATAGCCTGAGGTCATTCCTTTGTATATTGAAATTTATATGCATTTAATTTTCAAATACCATATTTATATTTTAACATCTGAATTTCTGACGTTGACAAAGAACTTGTCGTTCCCCTGCCAACATAGGAAAAGGCGCCATATATTTCAACTGTTACGGAAACTTATTCCCAAAAGCAAATGGTAATGGGGTATTTTTGTAATTACTGATTTGCATGCCAGGTTCCAGCTCCCCATTGCTTCGGCCCTGCTATTTGAAAAAAAAAAAAAGGAAACTTCGCATCAATATAATGGAGGAAATAAGCTTCCTTTTCTCCTCCAGTTTCCATCGAGAGGAGATCAGTTGAATCAAAACATTACCCGCAGACTCGTTTCGATGCTTCATCCGCCTCTGTGAAGCTGAAATATCAAGAGATGGGAGGAGTAACTTCGATGATGGCCGCGAAGTTCGCCTTCTTCCCACCGGACCCGCCGTCTTACGGATTAGTCGCTGTGGATGCGGTGGAGCCGGCGGGGGTGAGGTGGGAGATGACCGGAGTGGTGAAGAGGGAGGGGGTCGAGGTGAGGAGGTTGAAGACAAGGAAGGGGAATGAGATTGTGGCGGTTTATGTGAGGAATCCTGCGGCGAAGCTCACTGTGCTTTATTCGCATGGAAACGCTGCCGATATTGGTCAGATATACGAGCTATTCATTGAGCTTAGTGTTCATCTAAGGGTGAACCTGATAGGGTGAGAGTTTATATCTTAGTGTTTATTTATTTCAAATTTTTTCTTCTTTTTGTGTTCCGTCGATGTTGTTGGGATTTTGGTTCTCGAGCTTGATTTTTTAATGTCCTTTTGTTATTTGTTGTATTGAAAACCTAAATGCTTTTGGCTTTTTAGTTATGGTTATCAATCCTAATTTGTGGGATGCCATGATTATATCACACCGAAACTCTTGATCAGGCAACAGCCAGCCCTGGTCGACCAACAGCTGGTTGACCATGCTGCCTATATTGTCTTGTTCGATCAATAATCTTGGTTGATCATAGGTTATGTGTGTTCGGGCTAGCTGGTCAGGGAATTATTGATCTTTCTTATAGTAAAGACCTAGAAGCGTGATCTGATGGTATGAAGGGAAATTGCAGGATGAATTTTTGTTTGATTTTCTTTCGCTTCTTGGTAAATATAGGGATTTGACTCTTGGTTTTGGGACGTGATGCTTGCTTTTTCTTTTTTTGGAAGAGTATCTGTTGGTGTTACAGATTGATGCATAACAAGGAGGACGGTAGTGCTGGGCAAATTGTTAGTGGTTCTGAAGCTAATTTTAACATCTAATTTCTCTTTGTTGTTGGTCTGAACTATTATGGCTATCCTGTTTCCTCTTTATGGGGTTTTTGGTAGCATAGTTTTTAATAGGATTTATCCATCGATTTAGTGTAAATCCAACCAAACATAAAAAAAGTGAAAATTAAATTCAACGCTCCGTTAAATCGAATTTTTCCGCATTCCGTCTCATTTTCTCACTTACCGTCTCAACGTAAATTCATATCTACTAAATCCGATTGTGAGGCGGATTAAGAATTTATTCCGCCGGGCCATCTCCGTCAATATAAATTTGGATTTATCTGATTTACTAAATCTCATTTAACTTAATTGTAGCCAAACACTCCTTTAATGTGAACATCATGTCTCATTTTCTCACTTTCCGTCTCAACGTAAATTTAGATCTACTAAATTTGATTGTGAGGCGGATTAAGAATTTATTCCGCCGCGGCCATCTCCGTCAGTATAAATTTGGATTTTGTCTGATTTACTAAATCTCATTTAACGTAATTGTAGCCAAACACTCCTTTAATGTGAACATCAAGACTTGAAGGGTAAGCGATAATGCATTCACTCACTTCACCGTTTTGTCTGGTGACATGAAAAAGAGTAGTTTGTGAACTCAATTATTGTTTAGGGTTACAAAGTATATTTTTGGTAACCCTTTTAAGGTGAACGATTGCATGGACAGTCAAGTTGGCTTTTTAAATGGTAGAAGAATGAAGTCAATAAGAACTGCTTGGGTTTTTTAGTTTAGTGTTTGATTTTAAATTGGAGTGGACTATAACTTTATAATTTGAAACTTAACAGCTTCCTCAAATCATGATTTTGAAGAAATTTTAACTTCTAGAAGTAGTGATGCTTATATTTGACATATTCTCACTGAATGTTAGCAAAATCACTTGCTTATGTTTTAATATTATTGATTACATTGCATTTCTTTTACCTAATTTTGGCCTCTTTTTTGTTGATCCTGATTTTAACCTTTTTTTTGTTGTTAAATATTTTCTGTGGCAATTAGATATATATTTTTGGATAGATTGTAGCTACAATAAACTCAAAATTTATAGGGGATAAGGCCATATAACATGGAAGAATTGCATTTGCTAACTTCCTTGGATTCATTTTTAGGGTTAGGTTTTCGTTAATGGAAATTTTGACTTATTTTGTATGGCTAATTGTAGTGATTTTTTGTATGAATATTACTTACATGCCTAGCAAAAAATTTCAGATGGATAGTGCTTAAGATAGATAATTGAATAGCTTTTTGTAATTAAAGCTGTAATAAGAATTCACCCTTGTTAATTTGGTAATGCAAATTCTACTTTGTAACAATGTAAGTATTCCATTTGATAGAAGTTCAAATCTATTTGGTTTTATTAAATTTCTATTATATTTTATAATCATGCACTAGAATTCTGTTATTTCTGAATAGTGTAATTAGTAAAAAGTTATGAGGTTCTTTTGAATTATTTATGGCTATCAAATGAATTCATAATTGTTAATAGTGTTGAGTTAGGACTCTATATTGTAATTAATGCTCTAGAGCTTGCTTGGAACTGCTTGTGATAAGAAATTTAAAAATCTAACATAGTCCATGCATGGACTTTTACTTGACTTGTTCTGCCGGTTGGAAAAAAAACTTTTAGCCAAAAAATTTCATGTCTATCAAATATCTCAAATTAGCTGAATGTCTTGTTCATGGGTTTTATAATTTGTCTAATTAAGGATGTCTTTTAAAAGTTGGCGTTAAATTCCGCCAAAGGTGCAAATCAGCAAGAGAATGGGAATAATTGGAAAATGCATTATAGCATGTAGTTACAAAGAGTGTATGGATAAATATGTTCTTCATTACATTTGAGCAGTAGAAAACAACAGAGTTGGAAGCAGGGCAAAACATTGGGAAAATATAGCTTTTCAGCTGAATATATTGAAATAATAAAATTTGAGGCTGAGATATGTCTCCCTTTTTTTTTGTTGAAGTTGAAATCTGTCATTATATAAACAGAATTAAATTAGAAAATGACACTTGACATTCGGGATGTTTATATCTAGCTGTAGCTAGATCCAGATCCAGATATACTCATTAAAGCTGGTAAAAGATCTATCATCTTATATCACAATTTCAGGCTTTCTTTTATAATTAAATTATCTTTATTTCTGTTGCGGTTCTTTTTAATTCAGTAAATTCAACAAAATTAAATGAAATAAGAAATTTTATTAACTGGTAGTAATATTGAAAGGCAGTCTTCTACAATTTGGAGAATGTCAACTCTGACCAAATTAGCATAAAAAGAGAGCTTTTTTTCCCTTTCAAATAAATTAGTCTCGATACATCATCCATGAATAAAAAGTTATAAACCAAGTAAGACCTTCAATAATTGAGGATTTTAATGCTTGAGGATGTGCGAGGCTTGCTTGACTTGGTATGTGTAGCATAGCAAGTCATGACACTCAATAAAGCGTGGTGCTAATGTTTGTTTGCTATTTGGATGAAATCATTTCAATCTTTTTTAGGCAATAGGCCTGAAAGATCTCAAATAAACTGTATCATCAAGTTTCGAGAGCGCATGGTAAGTTCAATTACCAATATGTTGCTCTTCAATACCTGGAGCCAAGCTTTGCTATCAATGAATACTATCTAGGCTTTTTATTTGGAAGTTGGATGCTATTGTTCTAGTTACACTGAACTTGTGGCAATCTAGTTACATTGAACTTGTGGCATTAATTTACTCATGGTTCGTCCATGAAATAGTTGAGAGAACAAAATTGGAGGCTTAAGGAAAGGTTTTTTGTTCCTCTAATGATTAGGTCCTAAATTGTTTGTCATTTGTCTTATTTCTTTTGGTGGCTGTTGGGCATCTGGTTTTAGGATGAATCCAATCACGTGCATGTAAAAGTGTCGTTTATACAATTTTGTATAAGGACATTTTCAGTTGTGGTGAAGATCATTCTAAAATTCTTTCTTTCACAGCGCTTGAGAAATTTATGTGTCATTGCTATGCAGTTTTAAGTTTTGTTGACTTCTTTGCATGTGTATCCTGTCTTAGGATTTATCAGAATTGAATTTATGATCAATTATTTAACCTATAAAACCCCCATCTCTTTAGCAATTTACAACCATAAAAATATTAGATGGCAATTACAGTGTTCATGACAAGAACATGGATTCATGCATTGATTAAAAAAATTCATTGTTAAAAGATCTGATAAAAGTATTAAACAAGTTTGTATGTGGTTCATTTGAACTTGTGTATTGGTTTGGTTCAATTTAGTTTTATGCAGATAAAATAATATTTAGTAAGATAGAGTGCTTGGCAAATGAGGAGAAGATTGGGATAGAATCAAATTCATTTACCATCATCAAAGGTCCATTAATGGAAGTTATGCTATTTAGGCATGTTTGCTATTTTGATTTAAAAATGAAGGTATTTTATTTTAAAAAGTCTAACAACTAATTAAAGTTAGTATATTCCCACTCTCATGAAGTTAGAGAAGATTCCTCATTTTATATTCCCTCTCTGCATTTACTTGTCTTAAGACCGTTATAGAATTTTCGTTGATTCTCTTAAGATTTAGTTTAATAACCCATATCATAGATTGAATATTATAGTATCACATATAGCTACTTGTCAGAAAGCATTTCAAGGTGCTCGTGGTTAATAAAATTGATACTATACCAAAAAAATCATTTATCATCTTTTTAGTTTAGTTTAATTAATTAAATGTGTGAGAGGAGCATATAATGATGAATTTCTTCCTAAGATATCTTAAATTAGTTTTGCTATCTTAGTGTAGCAATTAAAGTCCTTGGCTGTTTGTGAGCATAAATTTTTTGTGCTTTGAGTTTTCTATGTTCATTGAATTACTTTATAGAGTCCTTTTGTTTTTCTAATAATTTCATTAATGAGCTTAAGAAGGAGAAAGCAAGAAGAGAGAGAGAGATTGATATTTTAATATCGGCATGTATGAGAAAGCAAGAAGAGAGAGAGATTGATATTTTAATATCGGCATGTATTTGGGTGCAGGTATGATTATTCTGGATATGGACAATCAACTGGAAAGGTTCGTGTTTAATTCTTAAAGTCCTTTTTTTATTATGTTTCACTTAGGCAATTAATTTGTTAAACTTTTTGAATGCAGCCAAGTGAGCAAAATACATTTGCAGACATTGAAGCTGTGTATAAGTGTTTGGAAGAAACATATGGGACCACGTCACAAGATATTATTTTATATGGACAATCAGTTGGGAGTGGTCCAACATTAGACTTAGCCACCCGTTTACCTTATTTAAAAGCTGTTGTTCTGCATAGTCCTATTTTATCTGGACTGCGTGTCATGTATCCTGTGAAGCGTACATATTGGTTTGACATATTCAAGGTTTAATTTCCCTTTACCTCTAAACTTATTAATCTAATCTTGTTGCTTGCTAGTTCTAACTAGGCATTCACTTTTTCTTTGCAGAACATTGACAAAATCCAATTGGTTAATTGTCCAGTTTTGGTGATTCATGTGAGTATACATGGTCTTTATGTTTCTTAAAATGTAGCTTAAGAGCCCTCCGATTTCATGCCTCTGTTTTAAGACATTTTACTAAATACTTTCTAAATGTTCTTGTTGTTATCCTTATAAAAGGTGAATTTGGCTTTAGATAAGTAGGTTTACACAATAGGAATTTTCATTTTTAAGGGAACAGGTTCTGCATTTATTTGTATTGTGACACGCAGAGTTAAATGTTTCTCACTTCTACCACTTAAAAGTTTCTTCATTAGAATCATTATCATAGTTAACTGCTTTCTCACATCTCTTATTCTTATTTGTATCAAAATTGTCCCAATTTTCATAATTTTCAATCACAATCACGATTCAACTCCCCAGTGAATAAAAGCACCTCTTTAAAATTGCCTCAAGATGTACCTCACTATTTTTAAGGTACATGCCTCTTTTTTCCTTTATGAGGCTATAGCTTTAATGCGCTTTGCATGCGCCTCTCTCTGAGGTATTCCTCAAGAAGTTAAACTTAATGTGCAATTTTAAATATGGCTCTACATCACTAGCTCTATCCTTGTTTCATTGTGATCTGCTTCCTCTTTTTTTATTGCCATGTCATTACTGAATGTTTCCCTAGTTCGGAAGGCTTGGATGTAAAACATCTCGGTGGCTAAAATATTCAAAAGTCTCAAACTTAAAAAGATAGGCTCTGCATATATGTTTACACAAAATGAGGCACAGTCTCCTTATGATCATGAGCCCAAATTTAAATCTGGACAAGTTTTATCTCAAATAGGACAGTTTCTCCTTTAAGTATCTTGAGTGATATTTCTCATTATGGAGCTCTTTCATCTTATACTATGATTGTATTAGGCCATGGCTCTATTTCCTCTTAGCATGGGTTAGTAGGAATAGGTTAGAACAACTTACTTCAGCTTTAGTAAATCAAACATGCTTAGATCATCCATATTGTACCGCACAAATTTGTACTTATGTTAACCAAACAATCAAGGAGAATCTTTGAACTGAATTGATTCCATTCATTGCATATTTTTTTGTTGCATTCGAATTGGTATAACCATTTTATGCCCTCTTTTATGTACTTTTATTTTTTATTTGTAATATAGATGATTTGTTAGGCGTTATCTTTTGTTTTAGATGCTAACTTTTGTATTTGTAGTTTTCGATATTTTTCCTTTTGTAATCCTAGTTCAATAAATAGGGATGTAATGGATATTTATAGATAATGATGGTTTAAATTAGAGCACAATTTCTTTTTTTCTTTTCTCATTATTTGCTGCTTTCTTTCCTCGACTAATTTTAACGTCTCTCTCCGAGCTGAAATAATGATGGTTTTTATTTTTTTTATTTAATTTTTTTGCATTCCTTTCTTTTTTTAATTTTATTCTAGATCTAGTACCCCCACCGCTTTCTAATTCTCATTTTCCTTCTGTCTTCCCGATCTAACGCCCTCTCTCTTCGTTTAATTATTTTCTTGGCATAACTTTTAATTAATTCTATTATCATATAAGTATTAAAATAAGAACTAAAGCTTGAAATCAATCATCTCCATTCCCTACTATTGTTTGCACAAACAACCAAAACCTAGACATCACATGTCCACCCCACCCAATACCAAACACACATCGTATTATAATTATGGTCTCTAAAAATACGAATCTAACCATACATATATATTAAAGATTATATTAAAAAAATAATAGGATGAATGAAATTAGATTTAGTTATTTGCCCAATCAATTATATCCTCTTTTCATTTCTTCTTCAATCTGGTTACTTTTTGATAGCATATTGGTTACCAAAAAAATAGATTTAGTATTACCAGATGTTTGATCTGATTTCACATTCTAGTAATTATCTAAGATAATTACTAGAATGTGAAATATAATAATAATCATACGTTAGAAAAAAAATATGAAATATTATTAATCAATAATTGGATTCATATAGAGGGATGTAGAGCGTGAATAATATGTGAAGTTTAGTGCATTCATATGAGGTGAAAAATAATTATATGTGGCATCACAAATAATTATTTAATAAAATTTAATAAGACTAAAAAAATTTATGAAAGTTAAGGACTTACACATTTCATGGTCAATGTTTGGGCCTCGACTTAAGCTCTTCTAATTATTATCATTAAGAAAATTTCTCATAGGGTTTGTTTTATTTTTCATCAAAACGTTATTATTATTATTATTATTGTTATTATTTTGTCGGTTTTATTTGTTTATATTATTTATATAGATACTATAATTAAAATTATATAGAGTTATATTTATTTGATATTCTAAGTTGATTTTTCTTAAGAAAAATAAGAGGACTGACAACTAATGGGATATAACGAGGATATAGGAAGAATAAGAAAGACTAATTAGGGATATGCATAATGTGTAATAATTTCTTCATTTAATTATTTGAATTAAAAAAAAAGGAGATGGTTTGGGCAAACTCCTCTCATCAAAAGGGTGCTTGGTAAAGAGCTTGATCATCCTTGGAAATATGAATGACACACCTCTGATAATATTTTATTGGTGATATCAAAATTTGCGTGTTTATTATATATATATATATATATATATTACATCTTTTCTTCTAAGACATACCAATTCTATAATGATTTTTCAACAAGTTTGAATTTTTTCATGTGCCGAGTGTGATTTTTTTAATGTAGAGAAAGTTGATCATAGGATTTATATTATTAAAAGCCATTATAGATAGTTATAAATAGTTAAGTCAGATATGGCGGTTGAATTAGTCAAATTTTAAACCTTTTTTCATATTGTTTGAATATAAATAAAAATAAATAAATTTATAGTGATTGGGGATTGATTTATAAAAACCTATAGTCTAACTGATCAAATTGTGTAAAATTGTTGAACTTTTTACATGTATATTTATTATCACTTATTTACTATTATTAATAGAAATATTCCTATTATATGATTGATGTTTTTGTTTGAACCCTATTCTACTTTTGAATCTTAAATATTTCTTTATGTTGGTTCAATGTCTAAACTTGTTCTAAAAATCTGACTCTAGGTGCTCACTTAAATACTAAAGCAAAGTATAGGATGGCTAGTACGCCTCGTATTTTTTGTATTGGGCATCGTTAGTTAAGCTACAATTTAGGCAAGTTCTTTGATGCAAGGCATAAAGCAATGCAAGGCTCCTTTTTTTTAATGTTTTTTTATTTATTTTAAAGTATATAACTTCATAATATTTGAGGGGGATTCAATATTAAAGTTATAAGCTCTGACTAATTTTTTTTAAATTCCATTTTTTTTCTAGAAATAGATTTGATCAACAAAAATATGATTTGTTTTATATGAAATATAATCAAGCTTACATGGTAATCTATAGAAACGATTTGTTATTAATACATTTTCTCTCAATTTGATGATAGTAATGAGTCGTTAATTGGAGGCGAGTCACAGTACCCAAAATATTAAAAATCAATTAGTTTTGATGATGAATATGTTATGGAATGATGTATAAAGAGCAAAAGAAGTTAGAGGAAAAAGGATGTGAATTAGAAAGCAAATTAGATCAAATATAGGCATTATAGCGTCTAGATCAACTATAATAAATTTTGATGATAATGGTATGAGACTCAAGGAGATAAAAGAAGAGTCAAATGGGTACAAATCTAGTGACTGGGTAAAGCGAAAGGTGACAAAGAAGATAAAATAGATAATAACAAAGATTAGATTAGCCTTAGACTATACATGTTATATACTTTAGTCTTTTATCTATATGTTTAAACTTAAAACATAACCTTTGGGCTTAGTGGGCACTTTGTGCAGACAATCTATTTGGTAACGTTTTGTTATTTTAGTATTTAGAATGAAACAAATGAAATATATTTTTATTCTAGGATTAATTCTCAAAATGGCCCTCTGATTATTTGCTCGTGTTTACTTTCATATGGATTATTTGCTTGTGTTTACTATGAATAAAGATATGATGGATCACTTGTGAGAAATCATAATTTAATTTTGAATGCAATCCATTTTTTCCCTCTTGTGAACTTTTTCATTTAGACTCTCCTCATTTGAGCATCCTTCTCTTTCCTAATTGAAATAGAAAAAAATTTACTCGCCCCCTTTTTATCTTACTAATGTGCACACACGTACAAACACACTCTCTCTTTCTCTCTTCTAATTCTCTCTATTTATTCTTCTCACATAATTCCTTATCAATCATATCATCATTTGGTAAATGAAACAAGAAGCAAAGCTTGAGATTAATACCATTTCCAAGAATCGAGGAACAAATCATGGAATTCTAGAGATCATTCATGTAATGTCCATTGCCAACCTAATATCATAGAGAACTTTTTATTTGCCTTGTTTTTGGTATTTTTCTTTTTACAGTTGAAATACTAAAGACAAGCACCATAATTTTAGGGGGAGAGGGTCCATTTCTTACAAAATAATATTTCTAGAGCTTTAGATTGTCTATTTTATAGTCTCCCCTACAAGGATAGTAATATGTAGTTCTTGACATATCAACAATTTGAGTTTGATTGTACATCAACTTATCCTTGTAATTAGCCTTACATCTAGAGAATTTGCTTTCAAATATTAGCTCTGGTACTTAGTAGTGTACAAGATGCAACCAAATAAACTAACAATGCTGAGATGATGTGATATGTGATGGATCAAACTAGCATGCATCTCCAATTAGCAATTACAAATCAAAACATTGGATCTAAAAAACTTGCGAAGTGTGACAAAGATGCAAAAAAAGTTAAGGGGGTTTTATTTACATATTACACAATTCTTATATATTTTTCTCACTAATAATTTATAATCTATATAATTGAAAGTCACTAACAATATAAACTTTTAATTGGATTAAAAATAGAGCTGATGAGAATATAATCATTTTTTTCTTGCTTGGTTATGTCTACGTTAGATATTCTCGTATACAACTCATTTTTTATTTCAAAATTTAAACTTGAAAATGTTAATTTAAAATCATCGTGGGTTATCAACATCTTTGTGAATACACAAATTCCTGAAAATACGGTAATATAATAGAAAGAGAAATGACATGCATTTCAATTAAGGTTCAATAACTAATTATAAATCGCCTTAACCATTCAAGTATGACCGTAAAAAATATTCAAATTATTATAATGAATATCATTTTTTATCTATATCTTTTTAAATAACTCTCGTCACATGAGCATCATTTAATATATATCAATTAAGGTATATCAATATCAATAATTTTTTGTAATATATGTGTGCTGGTATATTTGCATCGCTAGCTAGTACCATAAAAGAATGAACTTGATAGCCAACATGCTTATGCAAGCATCTCCTTGAATCAGCAATAGGATTGTGAGGCATGTAATCATCAGATTTGATTTTGATAAAACTCCTTGATTCAATTTCAATCTTGTGTTATGTAAATTTTATATGTGATTCCCTTGAATGTGATGTTAATGTGACTGACAAATCTTTGGGAAAATCATCTCCTTGCACCTAAATAGAGCTTGAATTTTTTTTGTTTAGGTGAATTATTTCATTTACCTATGTTTTCTGCATATTTTTATTAGTTTGTTAACTATTTTTTTCTACATAGCGAGTGTGAACTAAATGGGGGAGCAATGTTGCCTCACAATTATTTTTTCATTTTTTCACCTCACAATCCTACTGCTTAGGTGAATTGTTTCATTTATCTTAGGTGATTTTTTTCTACATAGAGCTTGAATTTTTGTTGCTTTGGTGAAGTATTTCATTTGCCTATTTTTTCTGCATATTTTTTATTAGTTTGTTAATAATTTTGATTTTGTTCAAATTTTTTACAATTGATAACCTAATTGTACTAACTAAATTTTATTTATTCGTTGATTTTATATGGTTCAATTTTTTTATTAGTTTCCTTAGATTTATTCGATTATTACATTATTACATACTTAGTATTTTGTGATTCGGAGATTCTAAGTTTCTTTGCATGATTGAGATGTATCATTATTGTTTTTTGAGAAAATCTCCTTAACTTGTCCCGCATCATTAGCTTTAACAATCTCGCAACCTCAAGCTTTGTGGTTTTTTTTCTTTCTAGATAAAGATGCTCCATGTTCTTGATCACAAAATGTTCTACTTCTCTTAATTTAGTTGTTGATGTACTTAAATGCTTCACATTGGAGATTGGGTAGCTTGTGATGAGTAGGTTGACTAAATTGTAATATCAATTCAATTGCAAGGTTTGTAATGTGATTAATGATATGCCACTGTAATAGGCATTGTTTTTGCCCAAGTGCTAATATTTAGTTCTAACTGGAATGAGAATTCTTAAAAATACAAACAGCAATACAAGATCTTTTTGTTTAATAGATGAAGGGGAATCCCCGAATAGGTATCAGTGTCTTTAATAATCATTGTACAATTTATGTTAATGGAACTTTGTTTCTCTAAACTTTTGTATGAAGATATTGTTAAGAAATTCACCTTGTTAAGCATTTTTTCTGTTGGGTTCTTAGGGCACAGATGATGATGTCGTTAATTGCTCCCATGGAAAGAAACTATGGGAGCTCTGCAAAGAAAAGTATGAACCTTTGTGGATAAAAGGAGGGAATCATTGTAATTTGGAGCTCTATCCTGAGTATATAAGGCATTTAAAAAAGTTCATATCAGTTATAGAGAGGTTACCTCCCAAAACTTCTGAAGGTCCCAAGTTACCTGAGACTCCTCGCGTAAGTTCTGACACATTGGAGCCTCCAAGAAATAGCACTGAACAGAAGGAGAAACCCTTGCCCAGCATTGAAGGAAAAGATAAACCTCAGCAGAGCACTGAAAAAAAGGAGAAGCCAAGGCGGAGCATCGAACGTAGATTCAGCCTTAATAGGAAGGAAAAATCAAGAAAAAGCACTGATAGTTGTCCTGCTGACCGGCCGAATGACAATATGGATCATCTAGAGAAGCCGAGAAAGAGCATTGATCGGTCAGTAATTACCATAAGCATTGGCTGACATTTCTTCTTCTGTTTTCATGCTGTTCTTGTTCTTTTGATATGCTATTTAATTTCTATATTTTTGTGTACTTGTCCTGTATGTTCGGTTGTTACCTGGTGTGGTAAAATGATGGCAGCTTTGGAGATATGATGAGGTCAGTAGGATTTTGCAATATCGACTGTTTGAAGGAGACAGCTTCCAGGCCCTGAGAAAATGTGGAGGTTAGTTATTGTTAGAACCTGATTTGGGGTGTTTTTCTTTTCTTAAGGGAAATTTACATACATGCCACACATTTTTTATGTATTTACATATCTAAAACCCAAAATTTAATATTAACACTAATAACAACATGTTAGCGTTGTGAATCAAGCCAACTTGTGGCCGGCTCGGGCTCGACTCGAAAGTGGCTCGTGACTGAGCTTGATGAGCTAACAAGCCAAGCTCATAAGCCGACTTGTTTAAAAATAAATTAATTAAAAATAAATTTAAAATGCATTAAAAATAAAAAAAATTTCGTTAAATTATTAACAATGTTTAAAAAATAATATTTTATATTTTATATCAAGTGATTTCTTATTCTCATAAATGCTCATTAGATTTATCGTTTCATTATAACAGTATCTTAAATTTATATTTTTCTTTTTTTTTGTATTAAACAAGCTGGCTCGTGAGCCGACTCGCTCGAGCTTGAACTCGATTAATTAATCAAGCTCAAGCTCAAGCCGAAAGTGGCTCGAGCTCACCTTGACTCGTTTACACCCCTATACCGTGGTGTCATATACTTATGCATGAAAGGTGTGTTTCACCTTTGAAAAGATAGCGATTGTTGTATTTTTGATGCAATATAAAGATTTAATTGGTATACATATAAATATAAATTTAGTTGTCAGATATGTAAATACATAAAAATTTTATGGTATGTATGTAAATGCTCTTTTTTTTTAATTTTTAACAATTTGTTGCGTTCTCCTACCATTTTCTTGTAAGAATCCTCTGTATTCTATCACAGTGGAAATTTAGCTGATATTGTGCTGTCTAGTAGTCTTTTCCTTTTGCTGTAAATGGAGATTTTCACGTTAAAGTATAAACATGCATTTGTATGATATTGTTACAAGTTGATCATATTGCATTGACAGGTCCAGAGGCAAACATTGACTTTTTTTGATCAAGTTCTTCACCTTCTTCTCAGCCTCCCCCGCTGCAATTTTCCTGTACTGATGTTCATCAAATTGGAGGCCAAAAAGTAATCGTAGCGAGCAATTTTCGCAGCAATTAGAAATGAATCTTTTCATAATTTCAGTGAGGTTGAGCACCACTCGGTCGCCTTTAAAGAGTGTAGTGTAGTTCATTATTTCACAGCCCCGGCGGCCGGCCGGCTGGCTGGCCGGCTTTCTTTGTGTCATTTTGCAGGATTTAAGTGTGCAAAGCTGAGTAGTTGTTTATATGGAATGTTAAAGGTTGTACAGTCATTAGTGTATTTGGTCAAATTGTATGATGTCCATAGAAGAACTGGAGCTAATCAGTGACAACTTTTTACAGTTACATGAGGTATAAAACATTTATTGGTTTAAAATGCATTTTCTCAGCAAATTTTTATGTGTTCTCCAATCTTAGTATTGGGTTACTTTCAAATTAATTTTAAATTTTAAATTTCAGTTAAGTAGATTTTGGTTAAAACTAGCCTTTTGTTTTAATTTTTATTTCAATTTGGATTTTAGTTTAAGTCATATGATCTTATTTTTTTAATATTAATATTTTAGTTTATTATTATTATTATTATTATTATTATTATTTTATACATTATTGTGACCCCCACGCACCCCCAAATAGTCTGATTGAACAAAACGAGGCTCATTTGGATGGAAAAATATTACTTCAGGACTCCAAATGTAGAGTTATGTTTGGAGTTCACTGATATGTGGACACGTGGAGATGACAGAAAAATAAGAAAAAGTTATTTTAACGCAGATGAATATTCCTCCCGTGTTATTCCATATTATTCAGGTGTTATTGTGGTGGTATTCATGTCTTATTGTGTTTTGAGAATATTCTCGGTGTTATAATAATACAATAACACATTAATACCACCACAATAACACCTGAGTAACGCGAAATAATGTAACGTGAAATAATACATGAGGAATATTCTCCTGTGTTATCGGATCGGATCACAGAAAAACACGGGTGTTTCCTTGAAGTCACGTGTATGCATATCAGTGGACTTTGAACGTAGTTCTACGTTAGGAGTCCTGATGTAATATTTTTCCCATTTGGATGGTTTCGATGATTCAAACGGATTGGTGGACACAATGTCCCGAAACGTTTTATGTTAAGAAAGATTTCATGTATGAAAACATAAAGCGCAAAATTCCACGTAGAAGTGGTGCTAAATTGCATTCATTGCAAGTTTTTTATATTTAATAATGAGTATGATGTAACTTACATAATCTAATTTGATCACTACAATAACCTGAGTTGACATATAATTTTGGGGTTTATTTAAATTCACCTAAATTTCAGTTTAATTTTATGTTTTAGTTTGAGTTGATTATGTTATATTTATATTCTAATTAGGTTGATTTTATGGTTAGTTTAATTGAAAATTAAAATTGATTTTAATTAATTTAATTTTAAGTTTAAACTCAAGTAAAACCTAGTGATACTCAAAGGGGTCCTAGGTCTAGACAACAATCTAACCATTAAAATTTTGGGCGGCTCAGATGAAAAGTGAAAATTCCTTAAATAAATAAATAAATAAACTTTATAATAAGTTTTAGAAATTATATTTGTAAAACTCGCTCATAATTACTGTTTTTTTTTTCCATTCAAAACAGTGAGCATTTAATGAGTAAGAAATATTTGTTAGAATTTTGTCGTGTAATTCATGGTTTAAGTGGTAGGATTATAAATAGAGAATGTTGGATGTTAGTTTTATAAATATGTAAAATGTTGGTGTCAAGCATATAATTGCCCTCTTTTAAACTTTTATGTAAGATGCATCTTTTATGGTTGAAAGTTCATAGATCATGCTGAGAATAGGGGAGTAAACGAGCCGAACACGAGCGAGTCATGCTCAGCTCTGAGAATAGGGGAGTAAACGAGCCGAACACGAGCTGTTCACGAACAAATCGTGGTAGTGCCGACTGCCTTCTCAC